AACCACGATCCTTTATTAAATGGGTCCTGTCGGGGTATAATAAAAAAAGGCTTTCATCCATTATAACGAAAACGACAGTAAAAAATTTAATAAATGCAATTTTTATAAATAAAATTCATAGTATTCTACGTAATGATTCTAATTATCAAGAATTTAAACATAAAAAAGATCAAAACTCAATATCATCAAAAATTAGACATTTCGTTAGTCAATTTGACGGGGAAGCCACGTTCAATCAGAAGAGAGTGTCTTTACTTTCAGAACACGAACAAATTGTTTCCGAAGATCCAGAAAGATTTTTTAAGTTTTTAGTTGATACAATCATAGCAGATTCCTTTCCCCAAACAATTCCAAAAGAATTGATTGGAATAAAAGAAATAAGTAAAGAAGTTCCTCGTTGGTCATATCAATTAGTCGACGATTTAGAACCAGAGGATAGACCAGATGAAAAAGACGCGTCGGTGCCAATCGATGATCAAATTCGCTCAATAAATTGGAAAACTGTAGTTATTTATACCGATAAGCAAGAGAATACCGACAATCCTGCCCCAAATACCACGGATATATCTGAGCAAGCAGGTGAAGTTTCTTTGATACGTTATTCACAACAATCTGATTTTCGTCGAGAAATAATCGTAGGTTCCATGCGTGTTCAAAGACGTAAAATCGTTATTTGGGAATTGTTTCAACCAAATATACATTCCCCGCTTTTTTTAGACAGAATAGATAAATCCTCTTTTTTTCGGCTACTTTTTCCGGATTAATTAAAGGGATTTTTAAAAATTGGATGGGAAAAAACCCAGAATTAGTGATTTCTGATTATAAAAACAAAGAATTGAAAGAGGAAAAGAAAACTAAAAAATACAATAAAAACGACGAAAAAAGCCAAGAAAACATACGAATAGAAATAGCCGAAGCCTGGGATACTATTCCATTTGCTCAAATAATAAGAGGTTTGATGCTAATAACTCAGTCAATTCTTAGAAAATATATTCTATTGCCTTTATTGATAATAGCAAAAAATTTCAGCCGTCTGTTATTATTCCAACGACCCGAGTGGTCGGATGATTTCAAAGAGTGGAATAGCGAAATGCATGTTAAATGCACCTATAACGGCGTTCAATTATCAGAAACTGAATTTCCTAAAAACTGGTTAACAGATGGTATTCAGATAAAGATATTATTTCCTTTCTGTCTAAAACCTTGGCACAGATCTATAATACAAGCGTCTGATCAAGATCGAATAAAAAAAAGCGAACAAAAACGAAATCGAATAGATGAGTTTTGTTTTTTAACAGTTGTGGGCCTGGAAACTGGCCTTCCTTTTGGTCCTCCTCGAAAGCGACGCTCTTTTTTCAACCTATTTTTAAACAACTCGACAAAAAAATTCGAAAACTTCTAAAAGGGCGCTTTCAAATTTGAAAAAGACTCAAAGAAAAAATTCTTTTTTTTTAAGGTTCGAAAATGAAACAAACAATTGGATTGTTGAAATATTTCTGTTTTTAAAAAAAATAACAAAAAAAATGTCAAACGTAAATCCAATTCGACTATTTGAATTGAGAGAAGAATCGAGTAAAAGAAAAAATGAAAAAGATTCATTAATCAAAAATCATATGATTAATGAATCATCCATTCAAACCGGATTCCTAAATTGGACAAATCCTTCAGCGACAGAACAAAAAATGAAAGATCTAACAAGTAGAACAAGAATAATAAAAAATCAAATAGAAAAAATAGCAAAAGACAATAAAAAACTAAAAGTTAGTCCTACCAAAACACCTTATGGTACGAAAAAATGGGAATCGTAAAAAAATATGGGTCATATATTAAAAAGAAGAAATGTTCGATTAATCCATAAATTCAATTATATTTTGAAATTTTTTAGGGAAAAGATATACGTAGATATATTTTTATATATCATTAATATTTCCAGAATTAATACACAACTTTTTCTTGAATCAACAAAAAATGTAATTGAAAAATCCATTTCCAATAATGCAAAAAATCATGAACAGATTAATAATAAAAAAATTCAGTTTATTTGGACTATAAACAAAATATTTTTCCATTTTGTTAGTACTAATAATAATATTAGTAATAAGAATTCGAAGATTCCTTCGGATTTTTCTGTGTTGTCACAAGCTTATGTATTTTACAAATTATCCCAAGCCAAAATTTGGAACTTATATGGATTAAAATCGATCCTTCAGTATCGGGGAATATCTTTATTTCTTAAAAATGAAATAAAAGATTTTTTTGGAACCCAAGGAATAGCTCATCCCGAGCTAAAGACTGGAAAACTTCCGAATTCTAGGCTGAACCAATGGAAAAACTGGCTAAAATTGAAAAATAATTATCAATACGATTTATCTCAGATAAAATGGTTGCAATTAGTGCCACAAAAATGGCGAACTAGAGTAACTGAACACTGTGAGGTTGAAAAATAATAATTTCAAAAAAAGGAAAACGAATTCATATCAAATAGAACAATTAATTAATTACACAAATAATTCGGAAAACCGTTTATTGTTATTGCCAGATCAAAAATCTAATTTTAAAAAGAATTATAGATATGATGTTTTATCATATAATTTTTTTTATTATGAAGATAAGAATGATTCATATAGATATAGTTATGGAATACCATTCCAGGGAAATAAAAACCAAGAATTTTCTTATACTTCTAATTACAACAAAACTAAAGACAAATTTATTGACATGGCGTGGAATATCCCAATCACTAATTATTTTTTTTTAGGAAGAAAAAATATTTTGGATATAGAAAAAACTATAGATAGAAAATATTTGGATTTGAAAATTCTCCATTTTTGTCTTAGAACAAAAGTCGACGTTGAGACCTGGGTCAATATCAGTACTAGCATGAATGAAAAAATGAAAACTGAATCTAAGAACTATTAAATTGTTGATAAAATTGATAAGAAAAGTCTTTTTTATCGCACAATTTATCAAGAAATCAACCAACCTGATAAAAAAAAAATTTGATTGGATGGGAATGAATGAAGAAATACTGAGCTGTCCCATATCAAATTTGGAATTTTGGTTTTTCTTCGAATTTGTCTTATTTTATAATGCATATAAAATGAAACCGTGGGTTATACCAATTAACCTGCTTTTTTCAAATTATAATGCAAGTGAAAAGGTTAGTGAAGATAAAAGCATCAATAGACATAAAAAAATCAATTCTTTTATACCATCAAATGAAAAAATATATTTTGAATTAGAGAATCAGAATGAAGATGAAAAGGAACTCCTAAGTCAAGAAAATCTTGGATCCGATGTTCACGAAAACTATGAATCTGTTTTCTCAAATGCACAAACAGATATTGAAGAAGATTATATAGGATCAGATATGAAAAAGCCGAGAAAGAAAAAGCACTTTTTGGAGTGGTTAATGGTGGGGTTACCATTAGCCTTCAAGTTTTTAATTTTTTGACCTTTTTTCGCCCGAAAATAAAAATTGTCGAGATGTTTCCTATGGTACCTAATATCCTCCAGGAGTCCAATTGTGTGGGTGGAACCATCCAAATGATCCAATTTGCCTTAAAACGATCAATTTACCAATTCGCAACTCTCACCGATTTTTTGAACTTAAGCCTACCACGGACATTTAAGACATCATATAATTGTCATATATGGTTCCAAACGGCATTATATGAACCTAAGATGTATCCCCTAGTGTCTTAACACTTTTCGCCACTAGGCCCCTTAACCTCAAAACTTCCTCAAAAAGCGTGGATAATAGCCTTCGATTTTATTATTTTTAAACTTTTTTTTGCCCGGAAATAAAAATTGTCGAGATATTTACCATGGTCCTTAATACCCTCCGGGAGTCCAATTAGGTGGGTGGAACCATCCAATTTGCCCTAAAACGATCAATTTGCAACTCTCACCGATTTTGTGAAGTCAAGCCTACCACGAACATTTATGACATTATATAATGGTCATATATATAGTTCCAAACGGCATTATATGATCCTAAGATGTATCGCCTAGGGTCTTAATACTTTTCGCCACCGGGCCCCGTAACCTCAAAAATTCCTCAAAAAGCGTGGATAATAGCCTTCAATTTTGGAATTTTTTGACCTTTTCTTGATCGAAAATAAAAATTGCTGAGTTGTTTACTATGGTCGCTAATACCTTCCGGGAGTCCAATTGAGTGGGCAGAACCATCCAATTTGCGTTAAAATGGTCAATTTATTAATTCGCAACTTGCACCGATTTTGTGAACTCAAGCCTAACACGGACATTTATGTCATCATTTAATGGTTATATATGGTTTCAAACGGCAATATATGACCCTAAGATGTATCTCCTAGGGTTTTTACACTTTTTGACACCGGGCCCCGTAACCTCAAAATTTCTTAAAAAGCGTGGATAATAACTTTCAATTTTGGAAATTTTTTGACATTTTTTCGCATGATACCGAGATGTTAATAATGGTCCCTAATACCTTCCGGGAGTCCAATTGGGTGGGTGAAACCATCCAATTTGCCTTAAAACGATTAATTTACACGTTTTCGTATACTCCTCTTGTATTGGCTATAAGCTTTCACGGGGATTGTACGTAGTCGAATAATGGTCATATATGGGTGGAAACAATATTATATGTCCCCGGGATGATCCCGTAATGTTCCGTGAAATTCCCACACCAGGCCCGGATTTTGACTTAAAGGCGTTATCCGATTGTTTTGCTAAGTCTTTGATTATAAATATATATAAGCCACTTAGCCCACTTGTCCAAAAACACCACTTAGCCCATTTCATAACTCATATCTAATTGTTTTTACAATATAAACAATACATTCCCTTCTTACTTTTTCCATGTGGGATAACCTCTCACACATAACATTATTATTGGAAATATTCCAAGATATATTTTCCTAAAAGAAATTTTCAGTGGCAGAAAAAATATTTTCCTAAAAGAAATATCATCATATTCATATAACTATTGTACCTCAAAAGTTATGGGCCTGTAACAATTACTTAGCCTAATTCACATCCTAAAAAAGCAGAGAACATTTATGTGCTTATGTTCTGGCATTACTACATCAGTAGCAAAGATTAGCCTGTAAAATCAACATTTAGAGAAAGTTTAAAATCTTCACAATAGAAGCTATAATGCTAGTATGCCATAATCTTGTTTGATCTTCATGAAGGCTCTACATGTTAGCCAGTGCTTGGATGCTTAAGGGATGACAGATATCACCCAATGGCTGACCGGACCAGGCGGAGTCGGCCAGCAGAGAGTTGACAGCCTCAGATGGATTGTAAAAGTCCCACCATACATGAGCTGAAGTTTGATTACAAGCCATCTCCATGTTGTCACACCCGGATGCAGCTCCGTGCCACCCTCTTCCACAGCAGGCTCCTCTTGCATCATCAAATCCTACACCCACCAATATTTATACACCATCAATGCTAACATAATTATATACTATATTATAAAACCAACATTATGATTTATGGCATACATAGCTTGTAAAATCATTAGTTAAAATGAGTAGTGCAAGTGTAACAGTACAGAACAAATGTGCTTACCAAAATTCTGTGGATTGGACAAAATTTGCATGAAACCTTGGTAAACATCACAGAACACAAACTGTGCATCAGAGTACTGCAAATTGAGGTCGACGATGTGATCATTCAAGAGACGATTATGCTGCATCATAAGATGATTAATCTCATTAACACAAACCCTCACCCTTCTCCTGTTTCTTCCAGTCAGAAAGTACCAGTTAACCACTGTCCTAGGGGCACATCCAAGAGGGTAGACTCCCATGGTAACAATCTTCTTCACACCTGCATCATACAGGTTTCGTAAGGCATTGGTCAGCTCGTCAACCAGAAGCCTAGGAACCATCTGTGTGTCACCACTGTAACCCGAGGAAAACGATGAGTTCCCAAAGAGGAAGTTGATGTAGTCATCCTTTCCCAAGGAAAGGTAAAAGATCGAGGAGCTGATGAATTGGTGAGCTTCCTGTTCACCTAGTTGTAACTGCAGCAGTTGGATAGTCTCAAATGCCTGCCTTTGCTGCTGGTTAAGGGACTGAAAAGTTGGGATGTTCGCGAAGGGGAGGATCGTGGCTTGAGCTGATCCGTAGTTGATCCCGCTTAGTATGCCTTGAATTGTCCCATTTTGCTCATAGAATGTTGGTGTGTTAGGCAAACCCATCTTCTTGGCTGCATTTACATGTCACAGAAATGTTACTTTATACATCAGTAACTACCAAATTATGAATTCAGAGCAGAAGAAGATTTAATGGTACAAGACTGCATACATTGAGACATGTACAACTAACTAATCTTAGGAAGTTTTACAAGTTTAATATAATTCAAGCATCAGTGGCATACAATATTCAATTCAAACTACTCATAATATGAAATTATAATAGAGTAATCATATAATTGTGCATAAGATAAGATAATGGCTCAATCACTGATTAAAGTAAGATAAAAAGTTCTGATGCATCAATGAAATTTCTGCATAAACTTCACCCAGATTTTTCAGACAGCAAAAATTCATCATCATACAATAACCCAGAAAAAGCAGGGGAAAACAGAGCATTAAAGTAAACAACATTAATTTCGAGCAATGTAATTAACCCAGGTAGAATTTAAAGCATTCAACATGAAATGAACACCCAGAATTTGAATCAAGAAACCCATATGAAAAAACAGCAAGAATTGAAAATTAAAATAAATCAAGAAAGAGTGAATATACCAAGAATATAGGGGATGAGAGTAGAGTAAGAGCCATTAGAACAAGGAAATAAGGAATGATAATGGCGAAGAAGAGGGTAAAACAGAGTATTCGCCCCACAATCAACTGAAGAATCCCCCATTACAAAGAAACCTCGAGGTTTCAATGGTGATGAAGTGAACAAATTCGAAGTGTCGTTGTTGTTGGTGTTGTCATCATCAGATTGAATAAGACTGTCAAGAAAGGAAAATGGCGGCGGCGACGAGGACATCGGTGTCGAATGATGAACAGCAGTGCTACCGTAGTGAGAAACATGAATAATCATGGCAATTAGAGCTGTTGTTAACATGAATAACAATGTTCCAGCAATTACTTCCTTGTTCATCTTTTTTTTTTTTTTTTTTTTTTTTTTTTGGGAGTGGAAGAATGAGAGAGAAGAAGAAAGTTGGCGGCAAATATTTGAGGGTGTGAAGAAGGTTGTGAAGTGAGGATGAAGAAGAAACTGATATTTGGATTCTGTTATAACTAACTGTTTTTATTTTCTTTTTCTTTTTTTTTGGGTTAGTTAGAATTGCCACTTGTACTTTTTTTAATGGTTAAGTGAGTATACTTGAGTCATGAGTAAGTTTAAAAATAATGTCATTATTTCCTAAACGTTGTTAATTTGCTATGTCACATACTTTTATAAAATTACTAGTGTAATGTAATTACATATATCGTGGTCAAATTGATTATACTTAACTAATCTAATTAACTCGACCAATAATCACTAGACCTGATTCACAATAAATTCGATTAGCTCGATTGTACTCGGAACTTAACACGATCATATAATCCATATATGACTAAGGGCTAAAACTCTACAACGGATGTATATATGGACATGCAAATTTTACGACAATTTTTTAAGATAAACTCATTTCATCACATTCATAATTACCATACTTTTAATCTGATTAGTACATACTTATAATTACTCCATATATTGCATAACACAATAATTTACAATCTAATTTATACATAATACATTACAGGTGTCATATTGTCATAATAATCGAATACTTAGATTTAAATGCAATTAAAATTACTATAAGCTACATAAATTTTGGTAAATGGTGATGGCTTAAGAAGATTAAATAAGAACAAATTAAAATACCAATCACATAACATAAAGAAGAAAAAAAAAACCAGCAAATTATTTAATGCTAAGCATAGAACAAAAACAGAGAATCTAAGCGCTGAAAGTAATATTTAATGCTAAATTTTAGTAGATTTTACGAGTTTAATCTCAGAATCATCAAGAAGCATAACAAAAATAGAAGTAACCCAGTTGAAAATTAGCAAGAAAAATGAAATTATAAAACAGAGGAGAGATAAAATACCCAGAAAATGAGGAATAAGAGTGGATTGATGAGTCTTAGAGCAAGGAAACAGAGACAAATTACGGCGAAGAAGAGGGTAAAACAGAGCATTCACCCCACAATCAACAGTAGAATCTCCCATCACAAAAATAGCCGGCGATTTCATTGATTCTGCAGAGTTGTTGTTGTTGTTGCCATTGTTGTTGATGATGGTGTTCTTCCGAACATTAGACTCAACCAGAAATCTAGGAAATGAAACAGACGGCGACAACAAAGGCGGAAACGAAGGTGCAGGGGAAGGAGGAGGAGGAGGAGGAGGAGGAGGAGGGGGGTGAGACTTTTGAGTGGTAGCAATGATGACTAAGACAAGAGCAAGTATAGCCATTCCAGGATAAAATACATAGTTACAAAGACGTTCTAAGTCTATCATTTTGGTTAAAAAGAAGAAGAAATCTCAGGGTTTCTGGTAACAATGAAGTTGGTAAGAAACAGTTTTGAGGAAGAAGAAGAAGAAGGAGGAAGTTAAGTGGGAGAGTATATTATGATGAATATCAAACTAATTTTTGGGTTTATGCGTAACTAATTTTAGAATTTTATACCTTTTTTTTTATATATAATTTTTAATAAATGGGCAAGTGGCAGATTATGAGTTTATTTGTTATGGAGTATTGTGCATTCAAAAATATTGGAGATTAGGGGAGTAATTTGATTAATTTGAATATGGAAATGAAATTATATGCAGTTATAATCATCACAACTTAATACGTTGTTAAAGTTCATGTAATTTTCCAAAAAAAAAAAAAAAAAAAAAAAAAAAAAAAAAAAAAAAAAAGACACAATAGTTAACAAAGTCTCCTCACAAGACTGTTCCAGTCGAATTTAATTGGATTACATGCTAGTCCGTTATTATTTAGCTGATTAATTACCATTAAATGACACACGTTACGATTATACTCCCTCCGTCCCTAAAATACATTCCTATTTCTAGCATTTATGTTATTTCTCACATAATAGAGGAAAACATGAATGTAATTTAGGGACGGAGGGAATTCGGTGATAAAGTACGAGTAGATTGAGCCATATCCTAATTCTTAAACCCACAACAACTTGCTCTAAAAAAATGAAGTAGTAATGGTCCGCAGATAAAATTCACTTGTTCAAACACTTAATTTTCATCAAAACTAACCAAAACAATCGATAGTATGAAAACTCCTTTGGAATGCTGCACTAGCTGAGGAACTCAAATGCGCCTAAAGATAAAGGCTAGGACCGAATTCATCCAACAAATTTGCTCCAAAGAGGCAGGCATACATGTTCAACATTTTATGGATCCCTGAATCAGCTATATTCAACCAAAAGCAAAGTCGCAAAGACATAACAGCATCAATCACACTAGACGCAAAAAACCCATATATGTCGTATATAGTTACAAACATAACCATATTGTTATGTTTGCGGCTGATTTCAACCGAAGTAGTAAAGCAATCACAGTATACCTCAAAAAAAAAATGACAGGGCCATACGAAGGGGGAGGAGAGAATACTCCATAACATGAAAAATTAATATTTCCTTGAATGAGCAATCACATTAAATTAGTACTAAAGCATGCAATAAAACACTGATATAATGCATCTGTCAAGTAGATCACATCAGAGTCAGAATCTGACTTACGAAGTTGTACCTATTTTGTACTTGATGTAACTAAAAAGAATATAAACCTTGAGAGACCTAGAAGCAAATCCTTGCGTACAAATTATTCTGCTACGCCTTCACCTTCCCATTAACACTGCGCTTACTATGCCAAATGCCATTTCGGTCTCCGTTTATGGGATTCTTCTTTGCTGCCACTGAACATTTATCGGCCTTGCCACTCTTTGCATTCATCTCAGCTTGGAGCCTACGCTGCCTCAACCTGTTCTCCAACCTAATAGCCTTCTGAGCACGAGATCTCATTTCTTTCTCTAAAGCGTGAGAGAAGTCCCACAGCTTCACGACACAATCTTCTCCTCCACAAACAATACGATCACCACCAATATTCACAGAAAACAAACTAGCCCCAGAACCATGCAGCATCCTCTGAGGAGGCTCAATTGTTGCCTCCTTCCTGTTCCGATATTTCATCAGACAACGCCGGTTGGATTTCAATAGTTTCCTAACATCAATCAGAGAAAGGTTCCCATCACTAGAAGCTGATACAACCCATGGAAACTCGAATGCAAGCGAATTCACAGGTCCTGAATGTGGGATCCAAGAAGCCACCTTCAAGACGCCATCATCAGCACACTCCGAGATTTCAAACATGTGTATTGATCCATCTTCTCCTCCAGTAAAGAGAAAGTCTCCTGAATAACTCCTTGCTATGGCATAAGTGTTTCCTGCATGAGCATGAGGAATGATGGCAGCCAGAGTTCCATCAGTAGTGTCCCAAATATAAACATCGGAACCTGATGTGCTAGCTAAAGTAGTGCCATGAGGTGCAATACTCCATACCCAGTCACTATGCCTTAAGACCATAACACACTGCAACGAGGCACGGTCCCATATCCTCACAGTCATGTCCCAAGATCCACTATAAATCCTTGAAATATCCAAAGCGAGAGAAGCTACTGGTCCCTCATGCTCCCAGAGTCTAAACTCAGAGTGTTCACAGTAAGAACCCTTAAGGTCGAACAAGTGAGAGACTCCCTCAACAGCCTTCCAACATTGGATAAAACCATCAGTCACCCCAGCTACCAGCAGATTTGTATCAGCAGCCACAGCACGAATTGTGCAACCAAGAGGCCTCGATGAAGCAATAGACAACCCTTCTTCCATGTCCCACATCCGGACTACAAAATCATACCCAGCAGTGAAAACAAGCTTTGCAGACACCAGGAGGAATACAGCACGAACTGGTTCAGTGTGGCCAGTCAAATAATCACGCCTACAACGCCCTAGATAGGTCTTGCTCCTAAAATCTCTCTCCACAAAGAGTTCCTTCCATGACTTCTCCTCAGGTAAACCGGGATTCAGAGTCTTAGTTATCGGAAGACCCCATCTCTCACAATAGAAATCCTTCCACACATGATGATCAGATGCAATCTTATAAAGGGTAGTTGAAACACACGAAACAATGCCAAGCTCTTTCGGGTCTAAACAGTTCAGAATCTCCACAACCAAAGCCGGAGGAAGGTCGGTAATAGACCGACGACTTTCCAAGGCATCCCCTTCATCAGTTGTCACCAAATTCCCAGTACCAACTAAGTTTCCAACAATCTTATCACTACCAAACCCTGATTTAGGCACTAATTTTTCAGACCCCTCAGCTTTCTTTCTCCAAATACCTTTCTTGCTGTTACTATAACAACGAACAGGTGTTTTTCCAAATTTCACTCCCCCAAATTGTTCTTTCAATGGATTATGAGCAGTAGAATTCAATAATTTCTTCGACAAACAAACTTCAGTAGTATTTTGGCATTCAAATGCCATAAAAGAATCTTCCTAACCCTCTAAAATTACTGTACAATTGAATAACTAAAGGCCCAAAACTTGTCAAACTAATCAAATACACTCAAACTAATCAAACCCTTATCAAATTTTGTTTCTAACAAAAAAATCAAGCGAACCCCAGAAACTGTACCCTCAATATCAATCAAAATCGAGCATAAAAACCCCAGAAATCAAACCCTAAATGTAATTGGAAAAATTGGGGCAGCTAAAAGAAATTGGGATATAATTTGGCAGAAAACGATAGAAAAGGCAAAGAAATTAAAAGGGTAAGAATCCAAATGTCCCAAGAATTAAGGAAGATTGCGAAGATTACCTTTACAACAACAACGAGAAAGCAGCAGCGAAGATCGAGCGAAAGAATGAACGTAGGAAGAAAGAACGAGAGGAGAGAGAAAATAAGAGTCCCGGCTCCAATACTGATGGACGGTTTATGATTATTTGATGACGCAATTTGAGCCGTTTGATTTGATAATTTTTTCACATTCACAATCTCCACACAATTTCTCAACTAAATTATCTAATTGAATGTTCTTATTTAAAAAAAAAAATGTTGCTAATTGAATTTTTTTTTGTTTGTTTGAAACAATTGAATTTAGTTTAATGAGGTAAACTTTAATTAAAATGTGGAAATCTATAAAGTATAGGTGTACTCAAGTATGTATATACGAAGTACAATCCTATGATGTAAATAGCTACATTCGTAGAAATATTAAGGAATTTTAATTTTTTACAACTATTTAAATGATGTTTGTATGAATAAAAATAAATAAAAAAAATTCTTTAAAGTGAGATAAATTTTTATGGTGGTGATTGTGATATCATGATCAAATAGAATAAATTTTTCGATAATATTAATTCATTTTGAATTTATTGCAAATAAAAAGTTGATGAAATTGGCGGTGATTGTGATACCATAATAAATTGATAACATAAAGTGAAAACATACTAAACAAGGATAATATTAGTAAGCTTACTTCACTAGAACACATGTATCATTTGAGTTTTCAACCCTAGATTCTAAAATATCGATAAATAGTTTGATTATGTGTACAACCTTTAATTTATCCTCTAGGAAAACATTTCAGTTTAGTTAGGCATCAAGGTGTAATCTATGCAGTATGCACCCAAAAGACCATGCTATTTGGTGGCCAAAATACTCTCAGTCATCTAATTTTAGTCTTGATAGTTGATATAGGACTTTGCATCCCTAGTAATAAGCTAATAAGGTCGTCTTAAGTCACCTACTTTGGTCATACCAAGTTTGAAAATACCCTAAGACGAGTCAAGATGCTACACTTGATGATATTATAGGTGTTTTTTATTTTTTTTAAGGATGAAGCGTTTTTGTCAATGATTCATGCTGGCGCGTTGGCTGTTGAGTCATTGACTAAGCTACACCACCACTAGACCAATGTCCATGCCTTGACCTTGTGCCTTAGGTAGTTGGGTGGACAACAGCAACGACTTTGGGCCTTAAGCAGGGCATGGACAGCATCAGCCCCTAAGGCCTGGATCTAATTTGGATCAATTTCAGAAAAAATTTCATAGATGTCACATTTTCTGGGGGATTAGGGGATAATGCATTCATATTTCACAACATAAGTTCTTCAAAAACATAATTGGTCAACACTTTAAAATGAAGTATTCCGTACTCCATAGTCCATACTCCATAGTATAATTGAATAAAATCTCCTGCCTTAATTATTATTATTAATTTGAATGGTTGAACTAGGAGTTAAAATTAAGTACAGTAACAAATTCCAACAGCAACAAATACAAATGTGAATGGTCAAATAAATAGGGAAGTATAATTAAAACATTTAAACAAACATGAACTAAATTGATCATCCTTCAAAGGACATAATTTGATCTACTCTTCAAAGTTTAAATAATGTGAATGCCATTGCAAAGCCAGCAACAAGATAAGCTACATTGAAATGTGCACTTGATGAGGCTCCATTCTTCCCTGAGTCTCCTCCTGCTGCCTCCGGCGACATCCCACCTGCATCCGGTGACATCCCGGCTGCACAAGAATGTTATTTTGATTAAAAGATGTATCAACTAAAACGACTTAAGAGAGTTATTGTGTGCTTGCTAACAACTTATATGTCTAGCTACTTATATTGTGTGCTTGCTAACAAAATCGCCTACTTCTCCTCAAGTTTTACACCCAACAAAGTACTCCCTCCGTCCCTTATTGTTTGCACCATTTGATCCAAAAGTTTTCACAAAAAGTGGATCCATGGTGCAAACAAAAAGTGACGGAGAGAGTATACAAAAGAATGACGAAATTAATAATCTTAAACAAATATTAAAAAGAAAAAAAAAAAAAAAAAAAAAAACTGATGTTCTTATTGATAAAATGTGTGTAACCAAGAATGGTGGAGTTACCTAGTGGTGCTGAAACTGCTGATGAAGGTCCTCCTGCTGATGGTGCACCTACTGGGTACCCAGCCGCTGTAAGACAAAATTAATTAACTTTAGTTTTTCTTCTAAATTTCTTACAAAAATATTTCAAGATAAAGTTTCACAAATGAATTCATTTATATGATCATATGAAACCCAAATTTCCTAAAATATAAGCAAACATTATTTCACATTACATAGTCAAATTATAGGAAATTGAACATTGGCATGTGATAGAGTGTCATAGTCATAGTCCAATGAGCCTTGGCTAGTCTAATTTGCAAAAAGTTGTGTATTGAGGTCGCAAAATTTTACACAACCTAAAAAGTAAAAAGAAAAAATGGTTTGACCCAAAATTAACCTAAAACCGACACATTAGACCGGATTTATTTGACCTGAAACCGATTGACCGACTCATTTGACAGGTGTTGTTGGAAATAATAATCAATGAAGTAGTGTCATGATACTGTAATTGCAGGAGTGTTAGTTAACTTAGTACTGATACAAAATTTAATGGCTAACTTCCCAAACCCCACCAACTTAAAGATTCAGAATTGCTATGAAATAAATGTACTGTTTACCAGATAACCATATCGTGTCTTATGCATTTATGTTACAGCTTATGAGTTGGAGGCTAGAGCACACAATTCAATGCTTCAAGAGATTAGGTTTCATTACCTTGTTTGGGAGGTTAGATCAAGTCATTTTTGGGTTTGGTGTTGAATAAATTTTAGCCTTTGAAACTTAAGCTACAATAAAAGTGTGTTTATCTTGAGAAAAAATTAGTTTAAACCATGCAATCAATTGAATTCCCCGTATATTGTCCTAAACATACTCTACTACAACATGATTTTTAAAGAATCCGACTAATTAACAAGTGGTGAAATGTCAACAATATACTTATAAGTACAAAATGACTCGATTTTTTTTTAAGATAATTAGACCTTTTTATATATATTGTACATTCCTAAAGGTGCTCTTGAATTAAATTGCAATGATATACTAGTTACAATAAATTAACTACATTTAGAATACCATCATATGATTATCATACTAATTACACCATACCAATCAACTTTACCAATTGCAAATAATATAAAACCATATATTATAATTGCTAGCTAACTTTGTTAATCATACTTCCAAATCATTCTACTATAACTACTATATTTAAGACCACAAAAAAAATTAGCATACTTAAATAACTTAATATACCAACCCAAAATAAGAACACATTTCACTAAAAATGTTATAACTTCAAAATCGAACAAACAAATTCATACCTGAACACAAGCTAACATCAGGAGTTTGAAGACCACAAACAGAAGGCAATTTAAGAGCTTTCTTAAGATCCAAATCAATTGGAAAATCCTTACTTTTACCCAACATTTGACACAAACAAATTGGATTAGTATCCAACATTCCAGCTAATTCAGGGCAACAATTTTTATCAGGTTTTGCTGATTTACTCCCTTTCTCAACATAAGTCAAACAATCTGACATATTGTATATCAGACTCATACAGTCTGACCCCGCCGTTCCCGGCCCCTCCGCCGGAGCCGACGCCGGAGACATCATCTGACCCTCCACATTCAAGCTTCCGATTGAAATTAGCCCAAAAATCACAACTACCCACATCATAGTTTTAGAGAAATTCGCCATTTTTAACTTCTTTTCTTGCTCCCCTGTTTTTTGGGGTTGCTCTGTTTTTTTGGGGTTGCTCTGTTTTTGGGTGTTGAGAGTGAAGAGAGTTAAATGGTGTGGTGTTGATATATATGAAAGAATATGATGGTACTACTATATGATATACTTGTAGTTATATTAATTTCTAGAGTAAGGTATAAATAAATAAATAAATAAATAAGAACTTTATAGATGAAAAATTAATAAATGTGAAAACCTAACTTCTAACTATCTTATTGTTTTTGGACTTCAACGTGCTCACCTCACTCTTGCCTCTTCCATGAAAGATGCCGTGACAATTACAAACTTTTCTTTTTTATTTTTCTCTTTTTCAACTTTTTTATTTTTTTTTTATTTTTTTTTTAATTTTCTATTTTTCTAAAGTAAAATCATTTTGAAACTAATTAATTAGTACTATTACTGATATGGAGTTTTAGGTCAAACAAGTCATCATTAAATTACTAGTGTTTGTTCAACTCAATTTCCATTGCAGAATAAATGGTTAAAGATTGATAAATATTATTGAAAGATAAAATTTGTCGCAGATTTAAGATAAAACATTATATATTTTGTGTACTTATCATTTTAGATTTTTAATGTAAGATAAGATTGTGTACATCTGAACCTCTCTAAACTCTAGCTATTTAAACAGTTTCTCAAGAGTAATTTAGAGATAAACAATACTAATTATAATTTCTCTATTAAGTAAAAATATTTTTTAAAAAAATGTGACTTTTATTTAAAGACGGTGGAAGATTATAATACGAATTGCCTTACACTGAATTATAAGAGAATGATACACCATCCAACCACCAACGAAACTCTAATGTAAAAGCCCACATGCAAGAGGACCGCAATATTTGTTGTCCACAAGTTATACCAAGCAAATTTGCTTCCTTTCTTCTTCTTGAAGATACTCCAATGTAGGTTGGACTTAGAAAGTTGTGAGTTTGTGACAACATTTTTAGGCAACCGTCTTCTTGTTAATAACATAAGCATTGCCAAAAAAAAAATGTTAATACCATAAGGTATATACAATGTTAAATGTTTTTCCACCCCAAATATAAAACTAGGAAAGAAATTTTTTAAACTTTCTTGAGATCATGGTCATTTTGGTTTACGTTTTCGGGAAATTTTCCTACTTCGTAATTTCGTATTAGATTAGAGAGTGGAGAGCACTTAAGGAGTTGGGGGAAAACACAAAATAGATTTTTTTTTTTTTTTTTAATGACCATTGCACCATTGTATGTACATTCATTATGTAAATTAGATTTTTGTAAGTTAGATTCTTCTACATTGAATTTAAGTATAATTAATAAACTACACGTTTCGAGTTCAACTAGTTAATTTTAGAATTAAAATTCTTTTGAGTTAAAAACGAAAATAATTTAATTATTACTCCACATAATTTAGAAACTTATTTGAATTCAATAAAATAAATTACGGATTAATAATTATAGACAGAGTATAATGTATTAAAATATAGGTAGAGGTCTCTCATTTTCAGATTGCTAAAAGACAGCATATATAATGCGTTATTTGGGCCTACAAATATGCACTGCTTGATTTGTTTCCCACAAGTTATTGGACCTTATTTTTATTTTCTTTAGTTTTTTTTTTTATATATAAAAAAATTCCTTTAGTTTATAATTATTGGTTAGACATAATTAGGCAATGTGGAAGCGTTTTTGTGACTTGTGGTAGATAGCTGGTATTGAATTGATCCATATGAGCTGTTTACATTATAACAATATGGATGCATTAAATGAAAAATCTTCTAAACTTGGAATTGTTAGGAATGAGATATGGAGCTGCTCCAAGTTTGCAACACCGACCAACAACGCGACCACTAGTGTACAAAACTCTCCAATTCCTTCCAATTGAAAAAACTGGTACCTAAAATAACGGTCGGATGTGCATGATAGCAAATTAGTAGAATTCATTAAGATTATTTTTTTCCGTTTCTACCTTAATCTTAATTAATGGGAAAAAATAAAGACATTGCTTGTGTAATGATTAACCTTGAGAAAATTACTTTTGAAAAAATCATTAGTAAGTTAATCATGTGATTGCTCTTTAATTGCAACCTTTTCAACCAAAGAAAGGGACAATATATAACGGATATATAGAACTTTGTTTTTTACCTCATAAAAAAAGTCTAAAGTTTTGTTGTTCACTATGGTTTACTTTGATAAAAACAAAATTGTATTATTTGTAATCTTGTCATATTAATATACAAATTGTTAATGTGTCCAAGAAAAAGCTAAACAAAGTTCAATAATTTACGTACATCTAATACTTCGTAGTATTATATATGTTTTTTTTTAACTCAAATAAAGTATCCTTGCTAGACTCTACAGTTCAAACCAAAATGGCCACTAATGATGAGAAATATGAAAGGTAAGATATTCTATGTAGGTATAGAAACAAAAGCTCCTTGATTTGTATGATAAATCTTTAACGATGGTATATATATTTATGACAGGATTGCAGTGATCACCGGGGCTAACAAAGGCATCGGATTCGAGATCGTTAGGCAGTTGGCGGCGGCAGGGGTGACGGTGGTGTTGACGGCGAGAGATGAAAGGAGAGGGGTGGAGGCCACCTCAAAGATTCATAGCTTAGGCCTCTCAAATGTGGTGTTCCATCAGTTGGATGTCACAGATATTAATAGCATCACCTCATTGGTTCATTTCATTAAGGCTAAGTTTGGGAGACTAGATATCTTGGTATGTTTTCTTTTATCAGATTGGGCACAAGGGTAGTTAAATTGGGCACAAGGGTAGTTAAGTTGGTACTTGGTAGTTACCCGTCGGTCTAGGGGTGAGACCCAAGGTTGAGTCCCTACGAATCGATGGGTTTGGGAAATCGATAGGTGGGCTTGGCTTAGGCCGAACCATCTATAGATCTAATTGAAAAAAATTTAAATCGGATCAAATGCTAGTTTACTTAGTTGTAAACAATTTGTAAATCTTTTTACACACGTACACGTATGTGAAAAGAACAATTGAACATTTGCTACTGAATCAAAAGATAAGTTGGACTATTGGCAATTAAACTTGATCAAAGAGCAAAAAAAGAACATAATGTTGGTATTTTTTGACAAAACACAACATATGAGAGGGTTTCATGCGGAGCTTACCAAATATATATAACCATTGGGCTAGGCCTAGCATATGTTTTCAATCAGGCAAGCAAGCGGCTTGTAAGTACGAGCCACGCCATTTGAGCTGAACCCGTGGTCTGCAGGTTACTTCTGCTGTCACTGACTGACTAACAATAAGATACTGCATGCCCACAGGTGAACAATGCTGCTGCTTCTGGAATGGAGGTTGATGATGAAGGATTAAGAGCCTTAAATATTGATGCAGCCACCTGGGTAAGGCTAACACATACATTAACATTCAAAGCATCTGTCCTAAATGTAAACAAGCTTGATGATGGTGTTTGTTCCTGCTCTTAATACTAGTTATCTGGAAAAGCAGCTAGTTTGGTTCAAGAGGTAATGAAAACAACATATGAGAAAGCAGAAGAGTGTTTTAACACTAATTACTACGGCGTTAAAGGAGTGACTGAAGCTTTGCTTCCATTATTAAAGCTTTCGACTACTAATGCAAGGATTGTAAACATTTCCTCTCTTAGAGGAGAACTGTGGGTATGTGCATCAAGTAACCTTTATTTTTTTTCATAAATATTTTGCAAGTGTTTCCAAGTACTAGAGCTAGTCCTGGCCTGAAATGTGACCTTACCTGATGAGTCAGGTCCAAACGAGCGGCCTGATGCAGTGGTGCCTAATATCTGGCTCATTCTGGCTTGGACCATCAGCTCTAGAAAACAACAGATGCATATATCATAATATTAATTCTTCGTATGCAGAGAATTTCAAATGATCAAATCAGAAGCGAGTTTACTAATATAGAGAGCCTTACTGAAGCCAGGATTCAAGAGAGACTGCAAGAATTCTTGCAAGATGTGAAGCAAGAAACATTGATAGAGAATGGATGGCCCTTGATGCTGCCTGCATATGGCATTTCCAAGACAGCACTTAATGCATACACCAGACTTCTTGCTCGGAAATACCCTGAAATGTGCATAAACTGTGTTCATCCGGGCTATGTTGATACAGATTTAAACTGGCATACAGGACTAATGAGTCCAGAAGACGGAGCCAAAGCACCTGTCGGTTTGGCCCTGTTACCTGAAGGTGGACCTACAGGGTGCTACTTTGATCAGACGAAAGTAGCTAGCTTCTGATCTCATCTAGCAAGAGGGAACTACAAATTGAGGGCTGTTTGACTCCAAAGAACACTAGGATCTCGTCTGCTTGTCATTGAAATTCAAATGTATTACTTAAGAGACAAATTTGTAATAAAAGTATCATAAAATGGTAGTATCATAATCTAATCCTCAGCATAGATTATAGTTACTACATGTCATATTGTAAATTAAAGCAGCAAACATAAAGATCAAACAGTTCTATGTAAAATATAGGCCCAAATTCATCTTGCTAAAAGACAGCATATAAAATGTGTTATTTGGGCCTATAAATATGCATTGCTTGATTTGTTTCCCACAAGTTATTGGACCTTATTTTTATTTTCTTTAGTTTTTTTATTTTTAGTTTATAATTATTGGTTAGACATAATTAGGGTGGAAGCGTTTTTTGTGTCTTGTGGTAGATACTAGATAGCTGGTATTGAATTGATCCATATGAGCTGTTTTATATAACAATATGGATGCATTAAATGAAAAATCTTCTAAACTTGGAATTGTTAGGAATGAGATATGGAGCTGCTCCAAGTTTGCAACACCGACCAACAACGCGACCACTAGTGTACAGAACTCTCCATTTCCTTCTAATTGAAAAAAATCTGGTACCTAAAATAACGGTCGGATATGCATGATAGGAAATTAGGAGAGTTCATTAAGATTATTTTTTCCGTTTCTATTTTAATCTTAAGGGGAAAAATAAAGACATTGCTTGTGTAATGATTAACCTTGAGAAAATTACATTTGAAAAAATCATTAGTAAGTTAATCATGTGATTGCTCTTTAATTGCAACCTTTTCAACCAAAGAAAGGGACAATATATAACGGATATATTGAACTTTGTTTTTACCTCATAAAAAAATTCTAAAGTTTTGTTGTTCACTATGGTTTACTTTAATAAAAACAAAATTGTATTAGTTGTAAATCTTGTAATATTAATAAATTAATTGTTAATGAGTCCAAGAAAATGCTAAACAAAGTTCAATAATTTACGTACATCTAATAGTATTATATATGGTTTTTTTTTAACTCAAATAAAGTATCCTTCCTAGACTCTAGAGTTCAAACGAAATGGCTACTAATGATGAGAAATATGAAAGGTAAAAATATTTTAGAAAAAAAAAAAGGTCCTTGATTTGTATATATGACACATCTTTAACGATGGTATATGTATATTTGACAGGATTGCGGTGGTCACGGGGGCTAACAAAGGCATCGGATTCGAGATCGTTAGGCAGTTGGCGGCGGCTGGGGTGACGGTGGTGTTGACGGCCAGAGATGAAAGGAGAGGGTGGAGGCCACCTCAAAGATTCATGGCTTAGGCCTCTCAAATGTGGTGTTCCATCAGATGGATGTCACAGATATTAATAGCATCACCTTATTGGTTCATTTCATTACGGCTAAGTTTGGGAGACTAGATATCTTGGTATGTTTTCTTCCAATCAGATTTTTAATTGACGTAGTAGTAGATTAACTGGAACAAGGGTAGTTAAGTTGGTAGTTACCTGTCGTTCTAAGGGTGAGACCCGAGGTTGAGTCCCCCACAAATCGATTGTATTGGGAAATTACTAAAAAGCTAGTTATTACACTTAAGATAGGTGAGTTTGACTTAGGCCGAACCATCTCTGAATGTCAACTAGCTTAATTTAAAAAAAATAAAAATAAATAATGAAGTAGATCAAATGCTAGTGTACTTAGCTGTTAACAATTTCTAAATCTCCTACACACGTACACGTATTACATTGTGAAAAGATATATTGAACATTTGCTACTGAATCAAAAAATAAGTTGGGAATATTGGCAACTAAAATTGGTCAAAGAGCAAAAAAAGAACATAATGTTGATATTTTGTTACAATACATAAGCAAAAACACAACCATAACATATGAGGAGGGTTTCATGTGAAGCTTACCAAATATAACCTTAGGGGCTAGGCATAGCATGTGTATTCAATCAGGCAAGCAGGAGGCTCATAAACACGAGCCTGTCCTTATGAGCCACGCCATTCGGGCTGACCCATGGTCTGCAGGTGAGCTCTGCTGTCACTGACAGACTGACAGTAGGATACTGCATGCCCACAGGTGAACAATGCTGGTGCTTGTGGAATGGAGGTTGATGATGAAGGATTAAGAGCCTTAAATATTGATGAAGCTACCTGGGTAAGGTTAATACATACATCAATATTCAAATCATCTGTCCTGAAAGTAAACAAGCTAACTTATGGCGTTTATTCCTGTCCCTTAACTAGAAATCTGGGAAAGCAGCTAGTTTGGTTCAAGGGGTAATGAAAACAACATATGAGAAAGCAGAAGAGTGTTTTAACACTAATTACTACGGTGCAAAAGAAGTAGCCGAAACCTTGCTTCCAGTGTTAAAGCTTTCGACTACTGGTGCAAGGATTGTAAACATTTCCTCCCTTAGAGGAGAATTATGGGTATGTGAATTAAGCAACCTTTATTTTGTCACAAACATATTACACATGTTTATAAGTACTAGAGCTAAGTTGAACGAGTCAGGTCCGAATGAGATGCTTAGTGCCTAATATCTGGCTCATCCCAGCTTGGACCATGATCAGCTCTAGAAATAAAAAAAAAAAAATGATGCATATATCATAATATCGATTCTTCTTATGCAGAGAATTCCAAATGATCAGATTCGAAGCAAGTTTACTAATATAGAAAACCTTACAGAAGCCGAGATTCATGAGATACTGCAAAAATTCTTGCAAGATGTGAAGCAAGAAACATTGATAGAGAATGGATGGCCCATGATGTTACCAGCATATGGCATTTCCAAGACAGCACTTAATGCATACACCAGACTTCTTGCTAGGAAATACCCTGAAATGTACATAAACTGTGTTCATCCAGGCTATGTTGATACAGATTTAGCTTGGCATACAGGACCTATGAGTCCGGAAGACGGAGCCAAAGCACCAGTCAGATTGGCCCTGTCACCTGAAGGTGGACCTACAGGGTGCTACTTCAACCAGATGAAAGTAGCTAGCTTTTGATCTCATCTAGCAGGATAGAATAACAAATTGAGGGCTGTCTGATTCCAAAGAACATTAGGATCCAATCTGTTCGTTTCTGAAAATTCAAATTTATTACTCAAGAGACAAATTTGCAATAAAAATAATCAAAACTTCTGGCCACAGGTCATGGTAGTATCATAATCTAATGGTCAGCATCTACATTTCATATAACTCATATTGTAAATAAAAGCAGCAGAGATAAAGATCAACACCTAGCAGTATCTGTAATCATCTTATATTTTCCAAGAACCAAACATATTGCGAATTGCAGAAGCACAGGCAGAATCAGATTCATCATCTGACTGATCTTTTTTCTGTTGTATCATCATTCAATTCGCAACATGAATGTTCTTTTGGTACTTTTTCATGTTAGTGCTAACCTCCAAGACCAATGGATGTAAGAAGCTGATGGAGAAGCTTGTGTTCCTAGGATTTTTTTTAATTATTGGCTTGAAGAAGTCCTGCATAGCCGGATCATTAAGCTGGCCATTGAGTATGTGAACTCTAAGAATCTCAGAGCCTCAGACAATTCTTGGAAGAGATTTTGATGAAGAAGCCGGGTCCTCTGACGTATGTAGGCCAAGATGTGCCAGGGAAAAACATCTGCGGCTTCAGCGCCCATCAAATGAGCAAAAACGAAGTGATACAATTGAAAAATGAGTGATTATGGAAAGAGATGCACTTAAAAAAAATAAAATAATAAGGGAATTAACAAAATTTGCTATAATTAATACCTTGAAAAACTACTACCTCCAGTAATAACTAATATAGTCAAGCAATTCCCAATCAATCATCGATTAAGCATAAAATAATTTCAATCACAATTTTTTTAATAATTGAACCATTCTCAAAATCTTCCTCAATAACTAGATCTTGGTGAAGAATAGTAAAATCATTCACAAAGCATTATTAACTACTTTAGCATATGATAATTTTTTCAGTTCGTTCTAAAAATTGTACAAGTGACTAATATATCCAAATGGAAGGAATAACTTGCTTGCCACGGATATAGTCAGAAGATAAAAGCGAAGCGCTGCAAATCATTTGTTACCTAGATCTAAATCCTGAAAACACTGGATATATCCCCTTTTCTGCATCTTGGAAGCTTGCTAAACAGTATTTTTATTAAAGTTGATACAAATAATTTCTTGATCAAGTAAAGAGATCCTGTAAATCAAGGATATCAGCAAGGACACCAGCTGCTGTCGTGTCATTACCAGCTCCAGCTCCTTGGATGATCAATGGCTGCTCGCTATAACACCTACTGTATACTTCCAGCTGCAGGTATCACACTTCAATAGTCAGGATTACAGGTTACAAGCACCTTACCAACTTAACGCTCAATAAAATTATAAAACTTCTACAAATCAATCTCAAGCATCAACAAAAGCATTGAAATGCCCACTGTGCCAGGAAGGGCTGAAACAAAACACAGTATCACGAGGAACGACCTGTGGGCCTTTTTATATAAAATAAAAAATCATTGGTTTAATTTACACAGCTATACATAATTTTCATTGAAAACAAGCGAGTATGACACTTGGGTAGATATCCATGTGACCATGCCTGACACAAGTACCTGAATTCAAGTAGCATAGCACAGATACCATATCCAATTATAGATAAAGAGAATAAGATCCAGGAAAATCAATGTATTTATAAGAGCTCCACACCAACAGACAAGCACTATACTGAATTGCTGTCATAAGATGATGTCATATACAGTTGGGCATTACACACCAAATTTGCAAATACTTACCACATTGTCACTTCCTCTTAGTCTTCCCAAGGCAGAATTTTTGGGAAGTTCCTGAATCCCAACCTCGCACCTACAAAAGATGAGAGCCACAGCAGCAGAACATCTTTCAGAACTACACAAGATTAATCCCCTGGCTAAAATAGCAATAACACTTGTTCAGTACCAAAGTCTCCTAAATTATATAGGATAGTAATGGTGTTTTAGTCAAATTTCTTATAATGACTTCAAATAACAGGGCCTATTATTTAAGGATGGAGGGTGTAAATCTAATTTAGTATCTGTCGTCTAAAATTGGTACCTGCTTTGGCTAGAACATTCTTTTCTTTTTACAAGTATTAAATGCATAATCAGGACAAAAAGAAAGAAAGATAATAAATACCTAGAACCCTCAATGACACAAACATAGCGTAGCACATTTCCATTGGAAGCTGCTTTTTCAACTCTATCTGCAAGACTGTTATCAAGTTGTGAAACACCATTAGCAAGAAAATCTTCCACGCTCATTGCATTAGGTCCCATTTCAGCAGGATATAAACTTTCCACCTATATATCATACAAAAATTAGGAGCTCATTCATGCTTTGCCTTAGGCATAAAAGGTTCAAAACACATAAATGCAAACCTTAATGCTGTCCAACTCAAGTCGTTGTCCAAGAAGACGAGCAACAATCAAAGCCTATTTCAAACCCACCAAAATAATTTCAGAATACAGACACCACAAGGCCTGTAGTTATAAGCGTCAACAGCTGATTAATAGTACAAAAAACAGCAGCCAATTTAGCATCACAGAATGATTAAAATAACATTGAGTCAACGCATACTAGTAGTTACAAACTAGCTTCCTGGCTGAAACAATTGCTAGTGAGATCTAAATAATATTTTAAGCATATAATGAATTTTCAAGCTAGTGAATTGATCGAAGACTGATGGGGCCACTGGTCTATGAAAGTACTTTCCAGATAACAAATGCTCAGTATGCAACAAATAGCAGTAAAGGATTGCTTAGTGAATTCTTGGGCATTGTTAGCAATAAAAGTTCATATTATTATCATGATAACTGAATGACCAAACAACGATACAAGACATAGTAACAAATTAATAATACTCCGAAGCTAATCATGCTTGGTTCTAGCACAAACCTTTCTTGCAACATCCATACCACCCAAGTCATCTCGAGGATCTGTTGTCACAAGAATTGAATCAATCAATCACAATTAAAAGGCACTTTTGAGACATTGTGTCTCAATTCTGAAAAGTGAAATATTCAACTCCGGTCAATTCTATGATGAGACAAACAATCATATATGTCGTATCTATTGACTGTTCAATATGTATTAAAAAATACACTCGGTACCTTAAGATCGCAGAAAAAACATAAGTAAATCATGTTCAACTTTAGTTCAACCTATTATAACAATTAATGCCAGATGCCCAGATCTAAAAAAGAGATCCCTTTCATCATTACTCATTTACTCTTCCATACCCCATAACGTTGGGGATGGAAGAAGAACAGAGGTTATAGAGTGTGGAAATGGCCATAGGTCATAAAATGGCAAGCATTATAATCTTACAATAAGCATTGGCTTTAGTTACTATATGTCCAAATAATGTACAGTAATGCACCGGAAACAGATATTAGACCAAATGTTTCACATTTTGTAGTTCTATCACTTCTATATGTACTATCTTACCTGTTATGAGAAGCACATGGTCAAATCATTCATAAAACAGAGAAGTGACATACCTAATTATATCTCATTGTGTATTTTTCTCACCTTAAGCAGAAAGAGACAAATTACATTTATAAATAAACCACAGGTCACACAGTAAATGATCATCTGACCAATAATAGATAGCTCTCCGATGCTAATAAAATGCACAACAGCAACAAGTTGCATCATATTTTCCCAAATTTAGTATACCACATGCAAAAGCCATGAATACATGATTTTTTCGATAGAAAGAAAATAACTACACACCTGGTTCTGTGTAACCAAGAGCTTTAGCAGTTTTTACAACTTGACTGAGAGGCTTCCCATCTTCTACTTCACTCATGACATACCCCAATGTACCAATCAGAAAGAGAAATGATACACTTAAATACTTCATGCACTAATTATGGCTTACAGGCTACAACAAATTTAATTAAGATGAGAGGAAAGTGCAGGGTCAGCAGCAACACAACAAAGTAGTAATACCACTCAAGCTGCCAACAATACGATGGATAGTGTCCCCAGATGAAAGCAAGCGATTAATGGACATTATTACTGGAAGACCAGCACCAACCTACCAAAAATACAAGACCCCCATTAAAAAAATGTCACAATTGCATTTAATATAAATTGAAAGGGCTGGAGCACAATTAAAAAGTTTAAAACACACAAAGCATTACTACATGAATCTTAGAAGATCAAGGTTGATTCATACAGCATATGTTGTGTAATAAAATATCATGATGAATTAATTCATGGAATGGGACTTTCTATATAAATAATGCAAAGCAGCCAAAAAGACAAGGCAACAGAAAAAAGATGTGTAGCAATCCAAATAGCATGCAAGATAGTGGATAAGAGGTATAGACCTGATGTCTACAGCCTGCTAGTGATGGATTTGAGGGTTAAATAGTGTAAATGTAATTATGATGCATTTTACAAAATTTCGTACTTCGGATGAGAGATTTTTTTCAAGAAATGGGGAAGAGAAAGCATGGAATAAGTATTACTAAATCCATCCCAGTAAAACTGTCAGCTTTAACTTTTCACATCTAAAAATTTGTTATTTTTACTTGTCATTTTTTATGTATTTGCCAGAAGTGTATAGTTTGAAACATGAATTATGTGGTTGTGACTTGTAATTGAATCAAGTGTTGTATCACTCACACTTTGAGAAATAAGTAAAAGTATTATGGAATATTGATTGAGATAGTAACTTTCAGACTAACACTAGTTTTAGTAAGTGGACATTACCTCCCAAAAGGAAAGATGGCCATTTTTTATTTTATTTTTAGGGGAGAGGGGTAAAAGTGTAGGCTAGAAAAATCAAAATGGAGGGGATAGGATAGCCAAATTCATTCAACACATTCCATTCACCATACTTAAGGTCACTGGTAAAAGGAATAAAACTTACAGTTGATTCATGTCGAAGGCGACGTGGGTGCAATACCAACTTATCATAATCTTCCTGCAATCCAAAAGAGCATCTGTTTAGATTGGACTTGATCAGCATGCTAACGTATGAACAATACACCAAAAGGAAAAATTCTACTTTGCACTAGAATATCATGGTGCTTAATATGCAAAATTACAGATGATACCACAAAACAAAAGAAAAGCTGGACTAGTGGCAGAATTTTCAGGACATGGCACTGCTATATCGTGAAGAAGAAGATATCAATGGAGGACCAAACTGCAAATAATACAGGTGCATAGGGGAAAAAATAAAAATAATAAAGGCTTAACTTCATTCTGTCTAGTTGAAGAAATAGTCTGAAAAGTTCATACATCCAAGGAGGAGAGATGAAATGTATATATCAGACAACAATTAATAGATCCATCAGTCTTCTAATGTATAGGTAAATCCGTAAATGTAAGATTCTAAGGGATAAAAGAAGAACGGGAGAACCTAGAGGAACCACTTCTTCAATATTCTTAAACCCCAAAATTAGAGAAGGCGCACACAAAAAATGAAAACAAATCATTACCATTGAGGATGTTAGGGGCTTCTTATTTGCAAGTACAATGCAGCCATTCATTTCAGCTACCTTCTGCAATATCCCTATAGTGTCTGAACTAGCAGAGCAGTCTACAACAGCCAACCCTGTCAAGCCAAGTTTCAAATGCCACAAAGCTTAGTGTTAACTACGGACGCAAAATGGGTTCCAAGCTTTAAGCAAGGTTTTATCACAAAATGAAATTATAAAAATAAATTTGTTTGGCTTAACAGTTAGGAGTGTAAGTTACTACATCACAACTTATCATGATTCATACATAATAGCATGATGGGTAGACCTCCTATCATGGATTAGAGGGTATATTACTATTCTTCTTTTCATCTTATTGCAGGGTAGAGACGAGTGAGAATAGGGAAGCAATGCAATTAAGTGATGCAAAATCAAAGTTCGTAAACCAGCCTTGTTTTAGGAAGTGCCTAGTAAGCATCTGAACTACAAGTTTCAGGGAAACAGGAATAGATTGAATTCAGTAAGCAGAAAATATCCAACAGAGATCAATTCCTAGTTTCCTACACCTCCCTCCAACATCCTACACAAGTGGCTGTTACTCAAGAGGGTAGATAAATGTCACTTTGTCGAAGTCATTTCTTTACCTCAAAGCTCATGTAATAAAGGAAAGTAACTTTCTTCCCAAATTTACAAGAATAGGTAAACCACTACTAATTATACTAATGTCAATTCAATCATTATTACTATAACAAGTTTCTTTAGCCGTCATAAAATGTTTACATTTAACTTCTTGTATCTTCCTTTAGTGGTAATACTAGAAGTAGTAGAATGTCAATGCAATATTACTTGTCAACTAAAATTACAAACACCGTATTACTTATTAGTGATTACACTAAAATGCCATTGCATTACTATCAAATCCCTAGGTTTACATTTCAATAAAGGACTAGGAACAAACCTGTGGATCGAACCAAATGACTAGCAACCTCAGTAATATTAGTGATTGTCTCAGAATTGGAGAATACTTGGTAATCACCTACATTTAACCAAACCCATCAAAAAACAAACCACAAAGTTTCATATTCATTTCTCAAAAATCACAACTATCAATAAACAAAGATAAATAAATTATGGGTAGGTGCTACTACACCGGTACACCCCAATACCCGAGATCAAATCATGTCTACATCATTATCCGTGACTCCAAATACTCACCATAAGATGTGAGAGAAGAAAGAGAAGAACCATTGGATTTGAGGCGACAAATTTCATCAACAGAATGATCATCAAGCTCAGTGGTGAAGATATCCGGCACAGAAAGCAAAGACTTGCTATCTGCAACTCCCACCACTCTTAATCTTACTCCCTGTAAAAATCAAACAATCAAAATGAAACCCAGAAAAATTCAAAGAGAATATATTCAATTCTGAGAATAAATTCATGGAAAAATAAATTTTAGGGGGTCTCACATAATTTAGGGCATGAATGTCTCTGCAAGAAACAATGTGTTGGAGAAGCTGACGCCCAACACCTCCACAACCCATCAATATCAAAGGAATGCTCTTCATCTTTGGTTAAATTCTGACTGAGGTTTTGGGTTTTAGTTGATTTTGACTGAGACTGGTAGAATGATAGATTGATAGATGATGTTGAGATTTTGGGTTTTTATATTTTGGGTTTGTTTTTGCATTGAATGACTAGTTTTTGCAAGAATGATGGTGGATGAAGCGTTGTGCTGCCCGTGTTGGCATTAAAAACTCCACAATACATGTAGATCGCTCGTATCGGGTTTATTTTTCCAATAATAAAGTTGATTCTTTACATTATCGGTGTTTTTAAGAAAAACTAAATTGAATCAATTCTACGTCATTACTTTTCTACGCTCTTATTAAGACTAAAAAATTATGTATTCGCGTCACACGTTTTCTATTTGATTTGTGTTTAAACTCAATCAATTTTGGCCGTTATTTATCTATAATAGTTTGGCGATTATACTTCTCTATTAGTTTGGCATATACTCCGTAGTAGTTTAATCTCGTTTCATGCCAAATCCATCCGGTATTACCATATTAGTTTATGGTTTCAAATGTGCTCTTGCACAAGGGATTTGAGCCCCCCATTTGCGATTTGCGACTACCCAAGTTCTCATTTATTTTTGCTTAAAATATTTCAATCTAAGAAACACCCATCATATCTTGATGGTACTACAAATCACGCAACAGAACTTATGGACCTATTGAAAGATTAAATGGATAACAAGGTAGGGTTTTACAATCAATACAAGGTCACAAAACTCACAACTGCGTAGTATATAACAAGCGATAGAAATGTATCCCAGAGGCTCAGGGCCTCTATCTCCTAGCTACTTCGATCATATCGGATTTTAAAGCTAAACCTATATGCTTTTACTGAAAAATTCTTTTATTTTGACAATTATTAGTGCACATATTAGACATACATATAATTAGGTTACACACTTACACATTAACACATTATAGTCTCAACAGCCTCAAGAAAGAACTAGGAAGGCCTGAGTAACATAACATAATCTACAAAAAGATTAAAAAAAAAATGGAAGACAATAACAAATCAAAAGATGTAAAAAAGCATCCAAAGAAAGTAGTATTACCGGGATTGATTATGATGAGCACTAATCCAGACAGTTTCATTATTAACAGTAAAAGAAACTTCAATACCAAGCTCAGAAGTTCTAAATCTAGACAACCTTCAAATCAAAGTTTAAATTCTACTTGTAATTATAGACAACCTTCAAGTCAAAGTTTAGAAGTTCTAATTCTAGACAGCATTTACTAACGCGCAGCTTATCCAGGGGTGGAGAGATAACTCTAATAAACCCACAGCGTTTATCTTCTACAGAAAACAGTACTGCATGCCGCATCCCCTTTCATCTATATACAGTTTGCCAGAAATTTGCATGGCATGCTCAGCAACTTCTGTAACTTATCTGCCATAACGGAAGAGCAATTTCAGTTAAATAAGTCCATAACACTGCTCATAAAAGAAAGGACACTGATAAGAAAAACAAACAATCAAAATAGTTATATATCCACTCGTTACAGGAGCGGGTGGAACTAAAGGTAAAATTTAAGTACTTATCCTCCCTACCCCAATCATATTCTCAGCAACTTATCAGAATAATTAAGACTTAGTATGTGACTAGTAGCAACAACATTCAGTAAAATTTCAATGGACAATAAATTAAAATAATACGAAGTATAAACGAAAGATAAGAAATTCAGTACCACTGCTGGTTTTTCTTAAACTCAGTAAGCACTGGATATATGTTCTCAAAGGCAGTGTAAGTCTCTTCTCTCACCTGCATGATATCCAAAGTTAAAATTAATCCGTGGTAGAAACCCTGGGTCAGAATTTGACACAAAATTCACAAAACACAAGATAAATTCACCTTAGCTCCTGTCAGAACTATCTTTCCTGAGACGAATATAAGCAGCACAATCTTTGGTTGTTTCATTCGATAGATCAAGCCAGGAAATAGTTCTGGTTCATACTGTAAACCAAAAACATTTCATCGAAATCTCTGACTTTGTTATTACTAACACTTTGTTGGCCATTTTACGGAGGAACATGACATATATTAACATCAAAGACCTGATACTTCCCATCAGAAAAGAGACAATGCCAGGCTCAAACAGAGATGATATTACTCACACTAGAAAAGGCACCATGAGAGAATGCAAGCCCCTCCAGTCTGATAGGAAATTTTACATCACACGATGCCACTATGTTCTGGATTCTGAAATTCTGCAAAAGGCAACTAAAGCGTGAGATTTACTTGCCTACAAAAATAACCCTGCAAATTAGAAGGCAAGATTTAAGGAAAAAGGATGCACAAACAAAGCAAATAAGGGAAACCTTGAATGTGGCAGGGAATCCCAGCTTCTGAATAATTCGAGCATACTGAAAAAGAAAATAACATGAGATATAATAACCATACATCAAGAAACAAAATAGTCAAGTACACAAATCTGCAGCAACATTATAATGCAAATTGACTTACCTTACGAGCAGCTAGTTTAGAGTCTGCCTCACTCTTAGCTCCAGTGCAAACCTAGATATCCAGATAATCATCAGTGAATGAACACACATAGAATAAAAACCCACTCAAAGACATTTTTAATGAAAATTTCTTAACTTAACTAATAAGAACAAGGAAGAAAACCAATATAAAATGGAATCATAAGTGAAGCTATGGTTTAACATGCATGACAACTCATATTCAAGCGCTATAAGTGAACACGAAACAATCAACACGGTAGTCTGATGAACATAATGAGAAATTCATTCTTTTTTAATAATGCATATATATAAATATCCTTCCCCATATAGAAAGAGCTAAGATACAAGCTCACCATCTTTCCAGAAGCAAATACTAGGGCTGTTGTCTTTGGCTCCCTTATCCTCATAATGACAGCCGCAAAACGCTACAGAACAGCAGAGTAGGAAACAAAAAAGTATTTTAGGTAATTATAAAAAAAATTATACAATTCATTGAATGTCAGACACGTCACACTGCACATCACAAACCCTAAGAATCTACCTTTGGATTATACTCTGCATTACGAGCTTGCAGTGCAATAGATTTCAATTCCAACTTGCAGTCCAAGTTGACAGTTGATACAATGTTCCTACAAAATAAACACGTCAACATGATAACAACGTTCAGATTTAGAAACAGTCTGCATGTTGACGTCAAAGCTTTGTATCCCGCCAATAATGAGGCAGGAAGACCAAATCAGAAACAAACACATACAAGGAAACATAAAATTTAACCCAGAACATTACATCATATGCATCAACTCATGCATAAATACTAAAATCAAAGAAAAAATATCCCTCATCAAATAACTACCATAGCACTATCACACCCTAACTACATCTACCACTCAGAAACAATAATCAGATACAGTCCCTCCCTACCTGAATTTTCTTCACTTTGACTTCAAACAATATACTTCATATAAGTGATATAACACTGTACTTATCCCTTTGTCCCATAATACATGACACAATCAAACGTTGCACACATGCCAATGCTTAGTTTGACTCCATTTTTATATAATTAAATATTAATGAAAATTATTTTTAAAATTATATTAGGAAATTTTATATCAAAACCTATCTAACAACATATTTATTGATAAAATATATTTTTATTATGTTAGTAAAAAATTATGGTCAAACCTAATGCATGAATAGTGAAAAAAAGTCCAACGTATCATGTATTATGGGACGAAGGGAGTATAATACAAGAAGCAGCGAATAACTCGGGTTTACATTATTATGTAAAATTATTCTAGGTTTTGTTTAAACTATATTTGTGAGGCAAACAAAATAGAAATAACAAGATTAATCTTAGAGACCATTAAAAGAGGGTGTGAAGAAAATTCAATTATAAATCTTCGATGAATAGGGTAATCTTTGCGGGAAACGACAAAAATCCTTCAATTTCGTAAGGCAATTAAACCAATTATTGCTGGTTTGACTCATATTTCATTCTACAATCCAGATGCAACATTGAAGTATCACTTTGTAATATCAATGCATGATTACATAGGTCGTTTTGCACTACTAATACAATATAATCTACCAATTTCTAAAAAAATTAAGTACAGTATAATTTGAAGCATATTATTGATGATTCCACTCAAAATAAACCCTAATTACCAACATCAAGGTTCAAAAACCCAAATTCAATCGAACATACTGGAGAGTAGGGATGATCCCAGATGGATGTCTCGACTGATCTACAGGTTGACCACCTTCCAAGCCCTGTTCTTCCATGTCAATTCCTCTTTCTTTCCTTCTGTTCAAAATCAAATTAGGGGATATTATCAACTAATTCACCACTAAATCAAAATTAAACCCCAATTTCCTAACTACTAAGATTCTCTTTTTTAACGTTCTATTTTAATTCCATTCGCTTTTAATTTCTGTTGAGAAAAAAAAATGACAAAAAAAGAAATACCCAATTCATCATCATGCTTGAATCAACGAAAATTGTGAAATAAACAAGAGGGTTTTTCAAGAAATTCTTCTTTTACCTACATATAATTAGGGTTTAAGTAAAATCCGACTATACTAAAAATTGATGAAAATTGTTGGCTAATTTGTGAAATTAAGATCGTTAAATCTAGTATTAATTGCAATTTCAGGGAAAAAAAAAAAGGATAACGGAAATTGAGAAAATGGGTATTAAAGAAAGCTCACTGACGCTAAAACGGTGATCTGATCGTGAATTGCAGGTGAAGTTAGCAGATCTGGAAATCGCCGGTGAAAGAGAAGAAGAGGAGAGAGAAAAGGAAAAAAGAGGAAAAAGAAGGGTCAAATAAATTTGAAAGATTGGGGATTTTATATAAGTTTTCTAAATATCAAGGTATTTATAATAGATTATGATGCATAAACCCGCCTCTATTATTCTCTTAATGGCCTTTTTCTTAATTGGACTTGGATTGACAGATTGTACAAAGTTACAAACCTCCTTTTATTTTCTTCATTAGGGCTTGTTTGTTTTCGTTTTTTCACTTGTGCAATGCTAGTATTTTTTACATACTCCGTATTATGTTAAACTTTATCAGTCTCAACTTATAGTCAATCCAGAGCCACACAGGGCAGGGGTGAGAATCGATCCCAAGATCTCCTGGAACCGGAAAAGAAGCTCTAACCACTTGAGCTATCCCTCACTCTCGTAAAAGTAAACGTTGAATGCAAGTAAGTAGTCGATATTAATGTGTTTCCGAAAAAAAAAAAAAAAAAAAAAAAAAAAGATAGTCAATATTAAAATTAACCTCAAAA